ATTTACTCTTGGGGCACCTGGGTGGCTGAGTTGGTCAAGCAGTCAATTTCGGCTCAGGTCATGATCTTGCAGTTTGTGAGTTCGAGCCCCACATTGGGCTCTGTGCTGATAGCTAAGAGCCTGGAGCCTGCTTCCGATTCTGTGTCTCCTCCTCTCGCTGCACCTCCCCTGCTCACACTCTATCTCTCTGTCTCTCAAAAATAAATAAACATTAAAAATAAATAAATAAATAAATAAATAAAAATATTTACTCTTTGCACAGTTCCAATATGCATAAATTTCAGTTTCCATAGTTTAGTTAGATAACACAGTCTTCCAATGATATGGTTAAAATATTAGTTATCATGGTATATAAACTGTGAGTAATTTTATAAAGTACAGATTTAGCTTCTGGCTCTCCATTCTTCAACTTGCTGTGGAAAGAATGAATCCACATCCTGATCAGTGACCAATCATGTCTCTTCTTTCAGTCTATTGGTGATTGGTCGGTACACATTCATTCACTTCATTCATAAAGAAGCTTGTAGTTGTGCTGCTTCCTAGTCTGTCAGTAATAAACCCATGTGACATTTCAGAAACATGAATATTCAAAAAAGAGGAATTGGGCATTTCTTTCTTCACAGATGATGTAGCTGGCCAGGGCCACCATTTGCAAGACTTTGTGTATGCAGCTCAAGCCAGTCAGTGAAGGCTAATGTAAAAATGAGTACAGTGGTTATGAGGAATAGGATGAAGATGACCCTTGAAGGACAAAGATTAAAATGATGGAAGCTGAAGGGCACCTGGATAGCTCAGTTGATTAAGTGTCTCACTCTTGATTTTGGCTCAGGTCATGATTTCACAGTTCGTGGGTTTGAGTCCCTAATCAGGCTCTATGCTGACGGCGTGGACTCTGTCTCCTTCTGTCTCTGTCCCTCCCCACTTACACTGTCTCTCTCTCTGTCTCTCTTTCTCTATCTCATAAATAAATAAACATTTAAAAAATGGTGGCAATGGATCCATACTCACAAAACAATATGACATTTCACCAAGGCATAGAAAAGATGCTTGCTCAGAATGGAAAGTTATAGCATAAGAAAGCAAGCACTATTCAAGCTACTCAATTTTTTACAGGAAATATAACAATTTAATTCTCAAAGTTTCAAATATTAACTAACAGTCTACTAAGTGTTAGTTTATTATATTTTAGATCCTTTCATGTTTATAACTGACAGAACATTTTAAAAGTTTACCTTCACTTATTCCTTCTTTGATGCTCTTCCTTTATATATATTTGAGTTTCTGACTTATAGTATTTTCTTTCTCTCTGAGGAAATTTTAACATTTCTTGGGAGACATCTCTAATGGTAACAAATTTCAAGTTTTGTTTGTCTGAGAAAGTAATTATTTCTCCTTCACTTTTGAAGGATAATTTTGTAGGGTACAGAATTCTAGGTTGGTGACTTTTTTCTCTTGACACTTAAGCATTTCACTCTGCTCTCCTCTTACTTACACGGTTTTTGAGGAGAAGTTAGATGTAATTCTTTTGTTCTACAGCTTAGGTGTTTTTAAAACTGGCTTCTTTCAGAATATTTCCTATATCTTTGATTTTTTTTGAAGTATAACAACTATGGGTACATGTAGAGATTTTGCTGTTTTGTTTTAATTTCTTCTAATGTTTATTTATTTTTTAGAGACAGAGCATGAGGAGGGGAGAGGCAGAGAGAGAGGGAGACACAGAATCTAAAGCAGGCTTCATGCTCTGAGCTGTTAGCACAGAGCCCAACACAGGGCTTGAACCCACAGACTATGAGATCATGACCTGAGCTGAAGTCAGATGCTCAACTGACTGAGCCCCCCAGGTGCTCCTGTTTTGTTCTTTGTTTTTAGTATCTATCCTTCTTGGGGTTCTCGAAGCTTTCTGGATCTGTGGTCTGCTGTTTGACATTAAATTGAAGAAATTCTCAGTCATTATTGTTTCAGATATTTCTTCTCTCTTCTTCTTCTGGTGTTTTCATTATGTGTATGTTATACCTTTTATAGTTGTCTCACTATCTTTGGCTTGTTTGTTTTGTTTTTTTTCCAGTTTTTATCCTCTTTTCAGTTTTTGAGGATTCTATTGATACATCATCTACCTCAGAAATTCTTTCCTCCACTGAGTCCAATCTTTTTATAAGCTCATCAAAGAGATTCTTCATTTCTGTTTGATCTCTAGCTTTTCCTTTTGGTTCTTTCTTAGGATTTCTATCTGTCTGCTTACATTGCCTGTCTTTTCTTGCATACTGCCTTCTTTATCCATTAGAGCCCTTGGCATTTTAATCACAGATATCTTAAATTCCTGGTCTGATAATTCCAACATCCTTGACATATCTGATTCTGGTGCTTGCTCTTTCTTTTCAAATTGTGTATGTCATGTTTATTTATTATTATTATTATTAATTACTATTACTATTATTATTATTATTATTTGACTTTAGTGTTCCTTGTAGTTTTTTCTTCATTGATAGGTAACAAGCCTGGTAAAAGAAACCATTGTATACACTTTTAGCATTGTGGGGGTAGTACTTTATAGTCCTGTGATTAGTCTTTTCGTAAGCATGTGCTTCTGGACTGTGAACTTCACATGTGCTTCTCTGTCTCTCCCATCTATAGGTGGGGCAGGATATCTGGAGTGGGCTGGAGTTGGGTATTTCCTTTCTCAAAGTTGGTTTGACTCAGATAATACCCCAGCAGTTTAGGCTGTGATCAACTAATTTCTCCTGAGGATAAATACTGTTAAAAACAACAGTCAGGGATACCTGGGTCACTCAGTTGGCTAAGTGTCCAATTTTTGCTCAGGTCATGATCTAATTCATGGTTCATGAGTTCGAGCCCCGCGTCGGATTCTCTGCTGTCAGCACAGAGCCCACTTCAGATCCTCTGTCTCCCTCTCTCTCTCTCTCCCCCTCTTCTGCTTGTTCTCTCTCTCTCTTAAATAAATACATAAATTTTAAAAAGAACAGTAAGCACTGATTTATTTTAAAATGATTCTCTCCCCCTCTTTCTACCAGAAGCACTAGAAAATTTTCTCCTGATATTTACTGTGAGAACCTGGGCAAGCTTCTGAAAGTAGATCTCAAAATGATTAGGAGCCCCCTTTATAACTAGGTCCCCTTGAAGACTTCAGTTTGCAAACTTATTGCTACTGAATCTCCAGCAATTCTTAAGGATAGTTAGGTCTTTTTTCCCCTGAAAACTGTTTCCAGTGGAGCTTTCTACTGGTTAGTCTCTGCATTTGTCACCGAGACTCCCTGTATCTGTCAGTCTGTTTTTCCAGTCTTGGGGACAGCTGTTTGTCCCATTTTTCCCCTTAGAGATCCAAGAAGAGTTGGTGATTTTTCCCTTTTCAGCTTTTTTACTTGTTAGGATGGAGTGGTGGTAACTCCAAGCTCTTCACTTGTGGAATCTAAAACTGGAAGCCAGGTTTTAATGTTTTGACCAAATAAGAAAAGAAGATTATGGAACAATCATAAACTCTTCCCACTGGTTATTCAGATCATTTTGCCTAGTTTCAGCTTGTATGGGCATACTTGTAATTTCATACCACCTATAATATGCTAATTTCTAATTTATAAAACATTTTTTCAAAAGCAATAGTTTCTTGCTTTTAAACTCTTTGATGCTAGATTTACATCTAATGAAAGTGCCTGATAGATAAATCTAAAGAAAAATTACTTTTTAAATATTTCTTTATTCTGTTACTTTATCATTTCAGTGTGATCTCTGCTTGCCTCTTTATAATGACAAGCCTTTCCGCCAAGGTGATCAAGTTCATGCTTTCAATTGCAAACCTTGTCAATGCAACAACCATTCTAGAAGCTGCCACTACAACATCTCAGTGGACCCATTTCCCCTTGAGCACCACAGAGGAAGTGGAGGGGTCTGTGATGATTGTGAACATAACACCACAGGTAACTAGCAAATCATAAATAACAAATAACAAAGGTTGATTTGTTTTTGAGATCCATGTGCTTCTTTATGCAATGCAATCATTTTAAATTGTGTTATTGCTACTTACTTAAGAAAGTGCCTAGATATGATTTCACTCATATGTGGAATTTAAGAAACAAAATAGTAAGCAAAGGGAAAAAAGATAGAGAAACCAAGAAACAGACTCTTAACTATAGAGAACAAACTGATGGTTCCCAAAGGGAAGGTCAGTGGGAGAATGGGTGAAATAAGTGATGGGGATTAAAGAGGGCACTTGTGATGAGCACTGGGTGATGTGTGGAAGTGTTGAATCACTATATTGTACACCCGAAACTAATATTACACTGTATATTAACTGGAATTTATATAAAAACTTTAAAAAATGATACGGTTATATTTGAAAACTAAAGCTTGTTTAGTTTTCCAAATAATCAGGTACTTTTCAGATATAGCACTCATATCTTAGACTATATTTTTCCAGGAAAGTTTTGTTTTTTGAAGTATATGCCATTTTATGAAACCATGAGTATATTTCAGAAAACTCAGGAATTATTAGTTTGAGTATGTATTCCCTTAAAATAAGTTTCTTTGTCTGACCCTGATCTTCCATTATGTCTGGATTTGCATGTAGTACTGTTTATATTCATTCAGATTTGGCCTCGATGCTGGTTATCTGGGAATATTCTTTTTAAAATGCTAATAGAACAAAGATGATTATCAAAATCTTGTTCGAAAACAAGATAGCAGGACACCTGGGTGGCTCCGTCAGTTAAGCATCTGACTCTTGACTTCAGCTCAGGTCATGATCTCAGAGTCATGAGATCGAGCCTCACATCTGCACTGTCAGCTCAGAGCCTGATAGGAATTCTCTCTTGCCCTCTGTCTCTGCCCCTTCCCCTGCTCACACTCTCTCTCAAAATAAATTTAAAAAATTAAACTTAAAAAAAGTATAGCAGTTTGACTCTTCATTGAAAATTCTATTTTCTGATGGGCTTGTAAATTAAAAGCAGAAATAGGGAACATCTCAATTTGTAAAATATAATGGGCCAAGTCTGATGGTTTTGAATGTGTGCCACTCTGAAGCATGAATGACTTCATTGGATAATTATTGATGACCTAAAATGTCACCAGAATGTGACTAGGTGCTAGGAATATAACGATGAACAAGATAATTAATTTCCCTGTCTTTGTGTGGATTATTATACAACAGGAAAGGCACTCTTTTTAACATTTATTTTTGAGAGAGAGGGAGGGAGAGAGGGAGGGAAGGAGGGAGGAAGGGAGAGAGAGAGAGGGAGGGAGAAGGGGCATACAGAGAGGGAGACACAGAATCCTAAGCAGGCTCCAGGCTCTGAGCTGTCAGCACAGAGCCCAGTGCAGCACTTGAATCTACAGACTGTGAGATCATGACCTGAGCCAAAGTCAGATGCTTAACTGACTGAGCCACCCAGGTGCCCCTGAGAAGCACACTATTGAAGGAATAATTACAAAGTTGTCTGATGAGTGCTAAGATAGGGCAAGTGTAGTAGGAGTTAACCAGGTAGAGGAGTGAGGAGAATTAGGGGTGTGACCGAGATTTCTAGTAAGAGAAACAGATGTGCAATGGCCTAGAGAAGAGAGAAACCTGGCACCCCGAAAGAACTTTTGTAAGGGCAAATGGGAGATAGTAAGAAAAGGTGCTAAGACAGAAGGCAGGGGCCAGATCTGAAGGACTCTATAAACTGTGATAAGGAGTTTGGCTTCCATCCTCAGGTTAACAGATGCCACTTGAAGGTATTTTATAGGAAAATGACATAAAAAGTTTTGTGTTTATAACCAATCTGGTTATAAAGTGGAGAAGGATTGGAGAGACCCAAACGTGGTTTGGGATACTGTGCTAGTCCAGGTAAGAAGTACATTTAAAGTCATGTGGATGTAGAGAAGTGGACCCAAGAGATACTTGGAATGGAAAATGACAGACTTTTCTGAGCCAAGTGTAGGGTGTAGATAAGGAAAAGAAAGAGTCAAGATGCAATCCTAACATTCCAGTTTGAGCAGCAGGGTCAGTGTAGGAAACACGAGAGGATCAGAGTTTAGGGGGAAGATGGCCAGTTCTGTTTTGTATAAATATTCACAGTGTTTCCCAAGAGACGTAAGAGAAACTCTTGCGGGCAACTGGAAACACAGATTTGAAGCATCTTTCTTAAGAAAAGCCTTTTGTGATACCTCAGAATAGATCAGTATTATCTATAAGCTTTAGTGGTCCTTAGGTTTATCACAATTTGTAAGTGCATATATATTCCTGTAATTATTTAATTAGAATTCATTTTACCCACCAGACTGTAGGAAAGCTCTATGAAAAGGGTACAATGTATATTTGGCTTGCTACTGTATTCCTCAGCATTTAGCTCAGTGTTTGAAACATGGTAATCACTCAATAAATATTCATTAAATGATAAATAAAGAAATTTCTAGATTAAAGATAGAAATTTGGGAGTCATCAGCATATGCAAATAGAAATATTCTAGAAATATTATAAATCCATTTAATTTTTAATTAGTCTATAGCCAATATCCACCAGGATGTGATTTTTACTTAGTTATTTCTATAGTCTTTTGATATTGAGCCAATTTCAGCAATATTTGAACAGAGTGCATAATGTTTAAGGGAGAATTGATAGTCTGGAGTTTTATTTCAGCTCCTTTCAGTGATCTTATATATTTACTCACATTTACTTTAGAAGTTCCCTGCACTTTAAGGTTTTTCTTATATAAAATGGCAAGAGAAAATCTCTAAACAATAAATTGTAAATATAGGAGCTACCACATATTTCTAATATGTCAGTCTATTCTAATATTTAATATGAAATTTATTTGGTATGCCTAAACATAATACATTTCGATTTCAGTATTTGAAATAAAAAATAATGGCAATAAGCAGCAGAAACTTTCACTTTTAAAAATGTTAACTATAGAATAATAAATTATATTTAGAACAGTGTCTTGTTTTGAAAACAAGATTTAGTCCCTGAAAAATATTTCTAATACTACACAAACATACACGCTTTCAACTGTATGGCCATTATCTACCACACATATAAACATTTCTCATATTTGATTTAGATTAAGTGCCCATTCCTAGAAATAAAGAAAAGTTTTAAGTTTGGAAGCAAAGTCTTTCAAAATGTATGGGCCCCAACAAAGCAGAGCTTTTTAGAAGTGTGGCATTACATAACAGATGGCAGTTTAATGAAGTAAAGCACAGTTTGTAACAGGTTCATTGTTTCATATGCTCTGGATCACTAAATTGGCAGGTAGAGATGAAAGGTGCATTAAAATGGACGTCCCGAATATTATAGAATTCCCTCAAAGGAATACAGTCTTTAATTTTGAATTATGCCGCTGATTTAAACGAATTGGAAGTCATAATGCATAACCTTTCCCTGACACAGGAAGGAACTGTGAGCTGTGTAAGGATTACTTTTTTCGCCAAGTTGGTGCAGATACTTCTGCCATGGATGTTTGCAAACCCTGTGATTGTGATAAAGTGGGCACTAGAAACAGTGACTTCCTTTGTGATAAGGTGAGTTCTGAGTTTTGAAGGTAAAGAATTGCTCATTTCCAGAAACTAATTTGGAAGGTCTGTATTTATCAGGAAGTCCTCTAAGTCTTCTTAGAGATGGCTGCTTTAGACGTGTGCCTAACAACTTTTAGCTTGAAGTATAAGGCTGCTTACATGGTCCTTTGCATACATGAAAAGCTCATTTTAGTTTTAATTTTAAAATTGTTGAAAATATTGAGGGGTGGGGATTCCAAGTAAACTAGGAAGTAATTGAGTATATGTCGTGGCATTATGGGTGAATTAATATGAATATAAGATATTAATTAAACAACAGTTTTTCTCCCAAATTCCATAGAAGATAGTATAACGAAGGTCATGCATATCCCCAAATGAAAATTATGACAGCCCTACTTCTAAATTTCGTATTACAACCTTCTCTCTTGACGATACAATGAATTTTTATGATTTTATCCATTTTTCTCACCAACATCACAAGTACTGATGTTTGAGCTACATGAACACAGGATCTAACTGAAGTAGGCCTATATAGCCTACCTCAAGTCAGAAAAAGCAGCTCCAGGGGCACCTGGGTGGCTTAGTTCGTTAAGCGTCCGACTTTCGCTTAGGTCATGATCTCGCGGTTTGTGAGTTCGAGCCCCGCGTCGGGCTCTGTGCTGACTGCCTGGAGCCTGTTTCGGAGTCTGTGACTCCCTCTCTCCCTGACCCTTCCCTGCTCACACTGTCTCTCTCTCTCTCTCCTAGAAATAAATAAAAAAAAAAATTAAAAAAGAAAAAGCAGCTCCATATTTAAATGTGGTATCTTCAGCTAGAGCTTTTTACCTGTTGTTATCATACTAATACATAATAATATATAAAGGGCAAATTTACTGTAAAGAATCAATTCAATGTATTAATTTTTAATAATTACACAGGGGAGCCTGGTGGCTCAGTAGGTTAAGCGTCCATCTCTTGATTTCAGCTCAGGTCATGATCTCACAGGTTGTGGGTTAGAGCCACATGCCAGCCTCTCTGCTGTCAGTGCAGAGACTGCTTCAGATCCTCTGTCCCCCTCTCTCTTTGCTCCTGCCTGACTCACACTCTCTCTCAAAAATAAACAATAAACATTTTCAAAAGATGTTTAAATAATTACACATTCCCTTGTAAATAGTCAGGAATTCATTGGATAGGAATGTAAGCCACAATTTAGTTAAAGAAAAAAAAAATTAAGCTACAGCATGAAGGTACTAAGTTCAAGGCAAAATATATTAGTCCTAAAACTTTCAGCATACATTATAAACTGCTTTAACAAATAAAAGCCAAATAGAAGGTAGGCCAAAATGACAATTTGAAGAACTTCTGAGTGACTATAGTGTGTTAATAAAGGAACATTATATGTTTTATTGGAAGATTGAAGAGTAGAAAAATAATTAACAAAGACAATTTCTACTTTTATATTTTTTGAAATTGAGGAACTATTTTCTGAGATAGTCATATTATGTTTTTATACATTTTGATCAGTAAAACCTGACTGTGTCTTTACACAGCTCCTCTTTACAATTGTGCCATGAAATTTTAGCATGTATATCATTTGCTTGATATTCACGTCAAAGATCAAAGATTGATATATTTTTTAAGATCTCTTCACTGACCACAGAATTATAGAACATACTGAAATCACTTTCTTTTATGTTACCCCATATTATTTTTAATAAAGCTTTCATGAAATTAATTTACTTCTTTGTCTTTTTCCTGTCCAACATAAATGGAACATTTTCAGTAATATAATAAGCACCCAATAAATATTTATTTAATAAATGTTGAGTGATTGAAGAGATTTTGTCTGAGTACTGATCTCACAATCAGATGGTCATTTAGAATGGTTATCACAAAGTGAGCATCATGTAAAATTTTCACCTAAGTAATATCTTCTCCCTGAAGATCCAAGATCATGTGACTTTGGTATATAGTACTGAAAAATTGTGATCTAAAGGTCTACTTCCTAAAGTCTCATTTACATGTCTGTTTCTATTAAAAATTCACTTCAATTGTAATAATACACATATGCTAGACATAAAAAATGGTAAGACTTATACCATGCAATAATTAATCAACAGAAAGCAAGACTGACTATATTGACTGACTATATTAATATCAAGTAATGTGGAATACAAATAAAATTTCCAGAGAGATATTATGTAATGAGAAAAGGTAAATTAAGCAAGAAGACATAGAAATTCTAAGTGTGAGTATACTAAACAGTAGAGCTGCAATACATGTGAAGAAAAACTGAGAGCTGAGAGAAATATATATATAAAAGAAACTTCAACACCTCTTGCTCAAAAATTGATAGAATAAAAGAAAATTATTAAGAATATAGAACTTAACAGTGTCTTCAGCTAACAAGATCTGACATATAATGAAGAGTCTACTTAACAACAGCAGAAAACATATATAATGCACATATACCAAGATATCCTGGGACATAAAGCAACCTTTAATAAATTTAAAAGAACTGAAACCATACAGAGTATATCCTTCGACCACAGTGGATATCAGAGTAGAAATCAAAAGACGTAAACAAAGAAAAAAAATCTCCAAACACTTGGAAACTATACAACACAGTTATAAAGTATTCATGGGTCAAAGAGGAAGTCTCAAAGGAAATTTAAAAGGACTGAACTGAATGGTGATAAAAATACAAAATATTAAAATTTGTGGATGCAGGGAAAGAAGTGATACAAGGGAATTTTATACCATTCAGTGCTTACTTTAGAAAAGACAGATTCTCAAATCAATAATCTGAACTCCCACTTCAAGAAATAAAAAGAAGACTGAAATAATCTCAAAGCAAGCAGTATAAGTGAAATCATAAAGCTAAGTGGAGACATCAATAAAATGGAAACAGAAAAACAGTACAGAAAACAATGGAGAAATGAATCTTTGGAAAGATAAATAAAATTTACAAGCATCTTCCAAGACTGACAAAGAATAAAGAGAAAGCACAGATTACTAATAGCAGAAGTAAAACGAGAAGTATCACTACAGATCTTGCAGTCATTAAAGAATAAGGAAATACTACCAACAGCTGTTTATAAATACATTTAAATTTTGGTGAAATGGAGCACTTCCTAAGAAGATACAAATTGCCTACTCACCCTACTCACTCAATAATTTGAATAGCCCTACAAGTACTAAGGAATTTGCATTTATAGTTTAAAATTTACTAAAAAAGAAATTTCTAAGCCCAGAGAATGTCATTATAAAATTCTACCAAATATTTATGGTAATTAACGTAGTCTATAGCTGTTGCAGCAAAATTGAAGAGGAAAGGTGACTTCCTAACTCATTTCATGAACATATTTTCCTGATATCAAAACTAGACAAAGACAGTACATAAAAAGAAAACCACAGACTAATATCCCACAGTAATAGAGATGCCAAAATTCTTAACAAACTTAGCTAATAGATATTCAGCAATATTAAAAAAAATTAAACACAGAGGCCATTGTATTTGGAGGAATGCAATTCTTGTTAAATATTTGAAAATCAAACAATGCAATACACCTTTTCCACAGGGTAATGAAAAACATTATGTAACCATAATGATGGATGTAGAATATATTTCACAAAATTCTCCACCCATTCATGATAAAAAACTCTTAGAAAACTAGGAAAAGAGAAGGTCAACTTAAAAATGAACATGTCCAGAACAATACATACTTAGAGCTAACATTCTCCTTATAAATGAAAAACTAAATACATTCATCTAAGAATGGGAACAAGACAAAGGTGTCCACTTTGATTATTTGTATTCATCATAGCACTGGAAGGTCTAGCTAGTACAGGAAAGCAAGAAAAAGAAATAAAAGACACATTGATTGGAAAGGGAAAAAAATAAAACTTCTGTTTTGCAGATAACACAATGACCCATATAGAAAATCCCAATGAATGTACCAAGAAAAAAAAAAAAAGAAAAAGAAAGAAAAGAAATAAAAGGAAAAAAACACTTCTAGAATTATGAAGTGAATTCAGTAAAGTTCCAGGATAAAAGATCAATATACAAAAAATAAGTGTTTTCCTGTATGCTAGAAATTAATATATAGACACAGAAATAAAAATATAATACTATTTATAGTTGCACAAACTGTATAGGATTTCTATGCTAACCCCCCAAAATACTGATTAAACCGAGCAAAGAAACTCTGAATAAATGGTAAGCTAATCTGTGTTCATGGGTTGGACGATTCAACACAGTAAAGGTATCAATTCTTTTCAAAGTAATACATAAATTATTACAGAACATTCCTATTAAAACCCCAGAAAGGTGTTTTTGTAGATATAGATAAAAAGATATCAAAATTTTATGGAAATATTATAAAATATAGTACTTTAAATATTTTTACTCTTTTATATTTATGTTACAGATAATATATAGAATTTGCATATAAGTTTTGAAATATCTAAAATTTAGAATGGTTAAATTAACTTCAAAATGAAGAATAAAATGGGAGTAATCACTCTATCTGACTGAAAGACTTACTATATAGTTATACTAATCAAGATTGTGTGGTGTTAGAGGAAGGATAGACAAATAGATCAATGGAATAGAATACAGAAATCAGATATAGTCCCACATAAATATGACTAACTCTTTTTTGGAAGATATAAAAGCAAGTCAGTGGAAGAAAGATGATCTTTTAACAAATGACCCTCTAGCATTTGCGTAATCACAGAAATTAAGGCAAAATGAATTCTAGCTTAAATGTAAAATGTAAACAAATGCAACTTTTAAAATATAAGAGAAAATCTTTTGGGCATAAGGCTTTTTATTTTATTTTTTTTGGTGTCCTCTTCCATTTCTTTCACAAGTTTTCTATAGTTTTCCAAATACAGATCTTTGACTTCTTTGGTTAGGCTTATTCCTAGGTATCTTACAGGTTTTAATGCACTTGTAAATGGGACCAATTCTTTGATTTCTTTCTTTTTTTTTTTTTTTTTACAAATAGTTTATTGTCAAATTA